CCGAAACCTCTTCGATTTTATTATAAGAATCACTAACTTTTCGAAAACTATTTCGATATCCTTAGAACTTTGTTACAGAGACAGAGAAGTTTTTCCGAAAGGTTGTGTGATTTTTTAAAATAAGATCAAAGAGGTTTTGGGAAATAAACAAATTTTTATGTCCCGGAATTTATGAAAACAGCAGTAATAAGTTACTGACGTCGGATGACATCAAAAACTTAACAATTTGGTCTCAACAATTTTTCAATGTCTCAAAAATAATGAAGACGAGCTAAAAACAGCTGTAAAACATATAAAAAATTTTATTTAAAAGTTTCAAATTTTGATCCGGCTGGGTTAAAACCAATTACAGCTGCAGATGATAAGTTTTTGAGTTCGGTTGCTTATTGATTCTGACTCGGTAACTTATTAATTCGGCCATCAGCAATTTCTTTAGTCATTCCAAAATTTATAAAAACAGCTGTAATTATTTTACATAGCCTTACGTTAAACGCTGCTTTATATTAAATTCGGCACCTTTAATAAATTAAATAGCAATGGGAAAACCAATTATTGAAATTTGGCCTGAGTTTCCTGAATTGGTTAAAATATTCGACAGGTATTTTAACTAATTATTAAATAATTAGTTTCTATTCATAAAATATTTAAATGAAATTTTATGTATTTGATCTATACAGTATTTGAGCCTCAGGCAAAGGCGAATATCGATGTAATGACTATTATGAACAGCAACATGATGGATATAAAGAATAAACATACTTTGACAACACATTTAGTCCAATTTATAAATTAGATGGTACAGTATGGGGTATAATGGGTATATCAACTGAAGTTACTCAAAAGGTCTTAAATGATCGAAGATTAAAAATCCTTGGCAATCTTTCACTCCAGACTGCTGGTTAGTAATTTGTTCGTGATTATCAGATGATCTTGTTGTGTATTTATTAGTGCATTAACACGTCTGCATTGTTTAAGGTGCCGAGTCCTTAGAAAGTGCATGCCATATTATAACGAAAACATTGCAAAATAATATAGA